TTCAAGTCTGAATCCTGGTTCCACCAACTCAGTTTTCTCGTCTGTAAAATGGGGATACTTTTAGTAATTACGTAATGAGGCTGTTATAAGGATTCAATTAGATAATCCACATAAAGCCCTCAGCACCATTCCTGCCAAACATAATATGTGCTTCAGAAGTGCTAACTGTGATCATGATGATAATGAAGAAAACAATGATAATGAGTGATTATCTGGGTAAAGAGGGAGAGAGGAAAATGTGAGGCTTTAAAGAGAACCTTGAAAACAAGTTACAAAGACATACTTTAAAAAATGAGTCCTCGTTGAGGGTTCCCTGTTGCTGCTTTAATGAAACAACAACTTTGTAAGTCATTTGTCCCCCATTCCTCTTTCCACACACGGTGGTAAAATTCTGTTTTCTAATAAAATACGAAGTCCTTGAGGGAAGAGATACGTACATTGGCACATATTCGTATCCTGACAACTACCAAGAATATTTGAAATATGGAAGGTAATCCATAAATATGGATTGATATCAGTTATGCAACAGTTACTGACCGAGCATCTGCCAGCGACCAACACTGACTGCACCGGGCGCTAAGGACACACACCTGGCTCACTGTTGGGGTTTGGCAAAAGGAGAAGTTGCTCACACAAAGCCAGACTATTGTCATTTATGGGCAGGAAGAGCAGAAACCGGATTTTTGCCATTGACTTCCCATGATGTCCACTTTCTGTGGACAATAAGGGGAACTTGAGCACCCAGGAGCCTCTCCTAGGCTGGCTTCCCTGGGAGGTGGGGGGACAGCGCAGCTGTAGGGGTGCCCCCACTGCTTTTAGGGGCATACAGGTCACAGGTCGGAGATGAGACACTGGGAGTACACAGGTGCATGCAGAGGCCTCCCTAGCTTAGAAGCTCCATCCCTCAAGAACATCCCTCCCTTGGCATCATCCCACAGCCACAGCTTCCAGTCGGGAGGGGAGAGTCCAGCTGGTGCCCACCGTGCTCAGGATGCCCCCAAGCTGTGCTTTCTCACCAGGCGGGTATATTCGTGCATGGACCTCCCAGTCTCAGCTCACCAATCCCAAAAACAGCCAGCGTTCACCTCTGTCATGTTTCCAGGCAAACAGAGCTAGGAACTTAACCCAAGGTCATTTCATTTTTCATAAAGAAGAGGAAACTATTTTGTTAACCTTTCACTCACAAATCCCCATTCTTGACCCCTTATCAAAAGTCACCGTGAGAGAGAGGTCTCTGATGCACCCTAAACACCACATAATTCTTCCCTCTCTCCTTCCTTGGACACTTTATGTCCCCTGTTGTAGCCAACACAATCATCATCCATCCAATCGTCCTCTGCATGGAATTCTTCCCATGGCTTTCCATTCCAAAGTCCAGAGTGTGACAATCAGGGCTCTTCAGAACCTAGACACGGTCTGCCTCCAGCCTCTTCCCCAGCCCCCTACCCGTTAGACAAAGACCATTTGTCATTCTCCCACATGCCATCATTAGAAAATACCTACAGCCTTTGTTCAGACCCGGAATAGCCTTCTACTGACAAACAACCGGTCAGCCAAGAGCTTGAAAAACCAATTCAAGCATCACCTCTAAGACACAAACCTTGCATCCCGCCCCCCCGGGTTCTCCAGTGGCACGCTGGCGGCCTCCCCTGCAGCACTGTCCATGGGGTGTGGTCCCTGTCACCCACAGAGCGGCTGCAAGGAAGAAGCCACACGCGATCCGTGTTGCCTTTCCAGAGTCACGGACGCGTCTTTGCACATGGAGTACCTCAAGGTCTATTGGCTTCAGTGCAAATAGTAGTGTTGAAGCTGTGCCTTAAGAAACTGGTAGAACTTCCGAGACAAACAAGGAGAAAGAGGCCCAGAAGCAAGAAAGTGGAGGCACAACAGTCCAGTCTGCTGACACGTGGGTCCCCGGAAGGAAACAGACATTTCAGATTCATTGGGATCCTAGCCTAGCCGAAGAGACTTAGCCTGGTATTTATCAGTAGGAAGTGGCTGTAACTCACAGTGAAAACTCTGCAAGGACTCAAAAAAAAAAAAAAAAAAAAAAATTAAGAGGTTATGCCACAATCAAGCCTCTAGGTATGATTATTTCTAAATGATAAGATACATAGATCATTTGGGAACAACAACAATAAAAAAAGAGTTTCTCAAATCAAGGCTCTAAAACGACACAAAGGATATATTGTAAGAAGTCCTAACATACTTTTTTGTGATTTCATCTGTCCTAATACACAATATTTAAAATGAGTATTTAAAATATTTAAAATACACAATATTTAAAGGCTCAGGTCCTTGTGATAATAGCCCAACGGAGGAAACCATTGAGGACCATTATCAGTGCTACATAGCATGGAATCACTAGCCCACATGAATGCCACTTTTAGCTTCTAAGGCCCCCTCAATACCCTGTCATCATCCAGTCACAGTAATGAAATTATAAACACCTGACAAATGGACAAATAAAATAACAAATGAAAGGAGCTGGAACAGCCCACAGACCAAAATAACGCAAGGCTTTTGCAGTCAATCTCAAGTGTTAGGGGCTAAGAAAAATACTAGACAAGGTTACCCATTGTATCTTCTCTGCTTCTTAGGGGAAGGAATTTGTTTTTTAATGTATTTCTGGAAATGAACAAAGCAAATACCTCCATGTGACTACACCCTCTCCTTCTTTCTTGTCTTATCTCACCAGAGGCAGACTGACCTTTCAGCCAATCAATCCCAGAATGATTCTTAAATACCTAAAATGCTGATAGTACTCTCTGACACTATGAGACAAAGGGGGCGGGGCATGAAGTTCCTGCCATTGAGAAATAAAGTTGAAAAAATTAAGCAATACAGTAAGGAGATTTCTCAGAAGCATTATTGAATTTTAAAAAGTGAGATATAGGGGCACCTGAGTGGCTCAGTCAGTTAAGTATCTGACTCTGGATTTCGGCTCAGGTCATGATCTCATGGTTGGTGAGTTCTAGCCCCAAGTCAGGCTCTGTGCTGACAGCACGGAACCTGCTTGGGATTCTCCCTCTCCCTTGGGATTCTCTCTCTGCCCCTTCCCTGCTCTCTCTCTCTCTCCCTCTCATAAATAAATAAATAAATAAATAATTAAATAAACTGAAGAAAATTATTTTTTAAAGTGAGATATAGACTAAAATCGATATAATATGCTCCTATTTGTATAAAAATGTGTATATGATAAACATGTCTATATAGACCTGTTTTTGCATAGAAATGTTCTGAATCATACAAAAATAATACAAAAATTCATTGCTGGGGGTTACCTCTGGAGAGGTCTGGCATGATTTAAAAAGATGTTTTTAATCATCTATTATCTTATACTATTTGTCTACCATGTGCATGTGGTCCTTTAATTTTTTTAATTGTAAATACAAAAAAAAAAAAAGTGAAGCCATTTCACAGTAGGAAACAATCACAGTGAGCAGAAGAGAAACTAACATTTATTGACCAACCTCTATGCACCAGGCATACCTCTCAGCCACCTCCCACCCATTATTATCGCCCCGCGGGTGTGGCTGTGATGTTTCTAGCTGGAAAACAGCCTGAAAGCTCTCCTCTCGCTGTTTGCCACCTCAGTCAAACCCACAGTTGGCTCTGACTCCGAGCTTTTTCTAGCATATGGACTGCAGCCAAATTTGGATGGTTTCCCAGGGAGGGTAAATAGTGTGTTGGAGATTGAGTTAAAACAACCAAACTCCTTTTTAGCAAGCCAATGGGATCAATCCAGAGCTTGTAAAGTACTAACTAAATTGTTTTTAGTTCCTTTGATTGCTTTCTTCTTCTTGAAAACTGTAAAACACACACACCCTTTCCAACATAGGATCTGCTGCTTTAAGACCTATTTACCTCATGTAGAAACCAAGCACGCATGGCTTCTTTACTTCACTTGTACTGAGGGATGCAAAAAAAGTACTTTCTACTATTATCGTTGTCAATAAAACAAATTAAACTTTTGTGATATCTATAAATTAATGTATATTTCTATGAAACCCTTATCAAATGCTGCCCTCTAGTGGACTATTCAGTGAAAAACCTTCTAAAAATAGATTTTCCCTCAGGCTAAAGATGTTTTAAGAGAACAGATATAATGGATGCACATCTTTTGAAATTAAATTTTCACCATCCAACTATAATTTCAATTAACTCTGCCCTTCATAAAATGTTGGCATTGTCATCGTTTCCTTAAATATTTACCTTGCTAGGAAACATTTACCTTAACACACAAATGTGGTCTGTTTTCCAAGGGGCCTGAGTTGACTTCACAAGCACCCTAATAAAATGGTAAATGTATAGTATTTCAAAAAAGCTACTCTATAACTGTCTAGATAGTCATAATAATTTTAAAAGCATATATCAGCGATCCCGTCCTGAGTCTTAATATTGTTAAAGCAGAGCTTCAAAGAGGAGCAGCTTTTACTATGGAAGGACATCTTAGCAAGAAAGCAGGAGGGCACCTGAGTTCGACGCCCCTGCTTCGGTGTCTGCAGCCACTTGGAAACTTCTGTCTTGCCTTTCTGCCTCATTGCCTGGAAGTCAGTCATCACTTAGTTTAAGATAACTTGGGACCCAAACACACAGAGGCTGCCAAGCTCTCCAAGCTTTAAAACTTCTTCTCCCGCCAGATGATGCTTCGTGCTTCCAGTACACTCTCCCTTCCCGCACCCGCAGAAGTTCGGGAAGCTTTGCCTGGACCTCCGCCGACCGTTTTTTTTTTGTTGTTGTTGTTGTTTTTAATAAATTTTTTAACGTTTACTTATTTCTTTCTTTTTTTTTTTTTTTAGTGTTTTATTTATTTCTGAGAGAGAGACAGCGTGAGCAGGGGAGAGGGAGACACAGCATTGGAAACAGGCTCCAGGCTCTGAGCTGTCAGCACAGAGCCCGACGCGGGGCTCGAACCCACGAACCATGAGATCATGGCCTGAGCTGAAGTGGGACGCTTAACCGACTGAGCCATCCAGGCGCGGTTCTTAACCCATTACCTGCGGGCACGGGAACCGCGCGCATCCTGTCAGCCCCCGGGGCGCAGCCCCGGTCTGCTTCCGACTCCCGTTCCCGGGCCCCGCGTCCTCAGAGGTTTGGGCAGCTCCCTGGAAAAGACTGGAAGAGAAAATACAGCTGGAATCTCAAAGAGCCGGCGTGGGTCACGGCAGGCGCCCCCGCACCCACCCTGCGCGGCCGCGGAGCGGCGCCCTGCGGCGGGAGGCGCGGGCCCGAGCGCCCCGGGTCGTGCGGCGGCCGCGGAGGCCGCGGAGGCGCGGGGCCAAGGTCACCCGCGCCTCCCTCCCCGCCCGACGGACGGCGGCGAGCGGCGCTCCGCATGCGCGTCGGGAGCGCGGGCCGGGAGCGCGCGGCTGGGCTCAGCCCCCGTCGACGGCCACCCGCACAGCGGCGCCCCGGCTCGGCCCCCGGCAGGGCGCCCCCCGCCCCCTCCGCGTCCGCGCCCCTCGCCGGGCTCGCCGTCCCTGGCCTCCCTGCCGTCCGCGATTTTAAAAAGCATACGGAAATGCCACAAACACCCTTTTTGAAACGCTTGATGTCCCCATCCAAGGAGAGTGAAGTAACTTGGAGAGACTATAAATGACCATAGGAGACGTTAGGGGCCCCTCCTCGGGCCACCGCCAGCCTCCTCCGTTTGAAGGCTGTTCCGATGACGAGTGACTGCTATCCTCACCTCGATCACAAAAGTCTCTCTCAACTTACAATTACCAGCCCTTCGTCTCCCCCGAGGTTTTCCCTTTGATGCCCGGTTCCGCGTGGCATCTTCCCCTGCAGATCCCTGAGCTGGTATTTGGCCGCGCTTTCTGAAACGTTTCTAGGAACTTTATCTGCTCCCTCTCCTGCTCACGTTTCCTTGCCGGGAGACACGCGACCAGGGTGCAAATGTTGCGTTTGAGCCGAGTTGGTACATTAACAGTTGTGCGAAGCGGTGTGTGGCCTTTTCAAAACTTAAGGGGTAAAGACATACGTCACACACGTGTTGCTGAGCCCGAAGGAGGAGAGGGGAGACAAGGGGAGTGAGGGAAGGCAGAGGGGGGAGAAGGGAGAGGAGGGAGAGGCGGGGAGGTGGGGGAAGAGAGGCGTGGGGGAGGGGAGGGGAGACAGGGGGAGTGAGGGAAGGCAGAGGGGGGAGGGGGGAGAAGGGAGAGGCGGGGAGGTGGGGGAAGAGAGGC